AAGCTGGTGAAGGGCCTGGAGCACAAGTCTTATGAGGAGCCGCTGAGGGAACTGGGGCTGTTTAGCCTGGAGAAGAGGAGGCTGAGGGGAGACCTCATCGTGCTCTACAACTACCTGAAAGGAGGTTGTAGCGAGGTGCGGGTTGGTCTCTTCTGCCAAGTAACTAGTGATGGGATGAGAGGAAATGGCCTCAAGTTGCACCAGGGGAGGTTTAGATTGGATATTAGGAAAAATTCCTTCACCAAAAGGGTTGTTAAGCCTTGGAGCAGGCTGCCCAGGGAAGTGGTTAAGTCACCATCCCTGCAGGTGTTTAAAAGACATGTAGATGTAGTGCTTAGGGACATGGTTTAGCGTTGGACTTGGCAGTGCTAGGTTAACGGTTCGACTCGATGATCTTAAAGGTCTTTTCCAACCTCAACGATTCTGTGATTCTATGAAATGATCAGGATCAAGCCTGCTAGAAGTTTCTGGAGAATTTGTGAGTGTGGGGGGAAAGAAGCCATTTGAGAATTTCTTTACCCTTTATTTTGAGATCACTTAGTTAGCATTTAATGTAATAACATAGTAAATGAATTCAGAATAGGTTAACTTCTCTTTTAATCCAAATATATTTTAGATGTATTTTGTTTCATGTCTTGACTTCCTCTTAGAAGAGTACTGGATGATAGTGGCTATAGGAAACCTTAGATCCCCCCTCCACTCCACCCCTCCCACCCGCCGAAGTGAGTTTCAAAGTGTTTCATATCGATTGAGATACATAAGTATCACATCATATAGATACTATACTGGTGTTGCCTCACAGAGGAAACCTCTCCCCCCTTCTTTTGTGTAGTGGGAAAAATGGAACAACTGGACCCCACCTTCCAGTAAGAAATTGAGTTTCAGTTTATACAAGGTACAAATTAGTGTTAGGACTCACAGAATGTTACGAGATCTGCCTACGTATAGAGCCTTACAAATGCTGGGGATTTGAAACGTCTCTGTCACTAGCAGCCCTTGTAGAATTGGGAGAAAACATACCTACTTCACTTCTACTGTTTAATTTCAGTTTGATACTTAGCACTTCTTTCTTGAAAATTATTACTGGAAATGACAATACTTATTTTAGAGTTGCTTGTTGGCAATTCATTTACAATCTTAGAATTGTCAAACTTTGAAGATGCTTGTCAGCACATTACAGAAATTGCATTTTTCTGGTGCTGCTATGGTACTTCTTTTACACATATACTGATCTTATTTTTATGTGTAAGAGCACTATGGCAAAGGTGATTCGGTTCTGTGGTAGTAGTCGTGCTATAGTTAAGTAATTCATTGTTTCTGGTTTCTCTGATCTGCTTGGAATGTCTGCTTTTCTTTGTAATCATTGTAATGGTAGAAGGCAAAAGATTCCCAGTTAAATGATTGTAGTCACACTAGCAAAGCCATGTTTCATTCTGCAAAGCCAAAGCATGAATTTCTAGCTCTTCCTGCATGCCCTGCAGAAAGCAGTCATGCTAGTTAGACATTTTAGGAAGGCTGGTCAAGGAGAACCACTGGTTGCCAATTAAATCGGTGGTACAGTGGAGCAGAAAGTATGTTGTCGGTGAAAAGAAAGTGGTAAGGATGGGCAAAATCGGTGCCCTAATAGCGGGGACAGCAGCAGTAGAGTATTACTGCCATCTGGTGTTCAAAAAAAAAAATTGCTAACGATGAACTCAAGAAGTTGCTTTCTATTCCTTATTGCTTCTATTGTATTTGTGTTCAGCCCAGCCCCAGGATTCTCAAGTGGCTCAAGATTCACCAGTTCTTGCTGCTGAAATTGGAGAGGGAGTTAAAACGCATTCTGGACCATCATTCAGACTTGATAATACGGTTAGTCATATCAAAATAACCATGTTACGTAACTTACTCTTTATTTGTGATTAAATCTTTCTATCTCATATTGGGAGGCTAAGACTGGGTGTGGTATTCTAGATGCAGCAGTATAACAAGCACCAAGTAAAGAGAGGTAATCACTGCAATGGATCTACTGGCTATATTCCTGTTCATACAGCGCAGAATGCTGTTGCCCCTCTTTGCTGCCAGGGCACACCGTGGGCTTACGCTCAGCTCGCTGTCTGCCGAGACTCCTGGGTCCTTTTTCACAGACTGCTCCCCAGCTTGGACTGACGTATGGGGTTCTTCCTTCCCAGGCGCTGGACTTTGCATTTGTTCTTGCTGTGTGTCATAACATTCCTATAGGGCCTCATGAGGATCCTTCTAGAGGATCATGAGATCCTTCTAGATGTCAGCCCTGCCGTTTAGTGTATCGGATGGTCCTCCCAGCTTAGTGTTATCTGCAGTATGGTTTCATCTCCTCTGGGTCATTGCCAAAGGTGTTAAAGAGGACAGCTCCTAGGATGGAGCCCTGTCATACTCCACTTGTTCCCCACCTCCAGGTAGAGTGTACCCCTTTAATCGCTGTCCTCTGAGCCTGATTATCCAGGCAGTTTTTTTTACCCATCTTGTCATCCATCCATCCAGGTTGTGACATCCAAACTGGGATACAAGAATGTAGTGAGAGACAGCGTTAAAAGCCTTGCCAAAATCAACACCAATGATATCCCCTGCTTTTCCCTCACCCAAAGATCCCATCGTTTTGTCAGGAGATAAAAACAGTATTTAAAAAATGCTGTGTATAACATGTATTTGTATATGTGTGTATAACATTATTTTTAAATATGTGTATGTTAAATATAATTATATAAGGTAGTATATAATGAAATATGTAGGGGAACGGTTTCTTAGATTTTTGTCTTTTATCTTCTTAGTGCACATTTTAATTCAGAGTTTGGGAAGAAATGTTCACATATAATTCTTCAAAATTGGGAAGTACAAGAACCTACATGCTCTGTTTTGTGACTTTGTAGAGCTTACTTAAAAATTAAGGAAGATAATATTTTAGGATATTTTGTATATTTTTCATTTAATTTCGTAGAATTAAATTTTTAAATCAGTCTCCTGTATGCAAAAGGCTTAGTCTTGCAAGTACTTGTAAAATTCCTGAGTTTTTCATGTATTGCATATATGTTCCTCTGAGATCTACAATTCTACTGAAGTGGGTCTGTGATGAGAAATAGCCAAATCTGATGACCAGAAGATAAAATAATCTTCCAGGTGTCATGATTTGTATGGAGTTCTGAGAAGCTTTATAATTGTGTGTGTGTGTGTGTGTGTGTGTGTGTGTGTGTGTGTGCGCACACGTGTGTGTGTGTGTGTGTGTGGAGGGGGCTGTTGGGGAGGGGTGTGTCTGGGATGTTGGGTGTGACTGTTTTTTACTGAGCAATGATGAATCTGTATTTGCCTGACTGCAAAACATGAGGGCTTCTACACTTGAACTGAGCTCAGAATAAGATGTGTGGATTTAAAGCTTTAATTATGGACATCCAAATACATGGTAATAGGTATATTATTTTATCCTAGGAAGTACTTTCTAAAGTAGTATCAACGAACTTAGGTTCAGAGGCTTTCATGCAAGGAATACCCTGTGACTTATCTTCAACAATTTCCACTGGAAGCTTTTTGACTAGTGAAACGTTGGATGTGAGCCCTGTTGACACTGGTAAGTGTTTGGGTTTTGTTGTTGTTCTTGTAAAAGGAAAATTGTGCATTCTCTTTATTTCATAATAGAATGGGTCTAACTCACTGGACATGAATTCTTCTGAAATAGACTACTGGGGAACTTCACTTACGAATGAATTATATGTCTTAGAGTTGAGAGTAACTAGAATATTTCGTTATGTGCTCATGATTTTTTTACTTTTGTAATAATTTAACATTATAACACATGAGCTTTGGCAAAGGATGTTTTGAGTTTTACTAAGCAACTATAATGCTAGCAGTTTTGAAGTGGCAAATTTTTTTAAAAAAGGGAACCCTGAATCATACACTGATAAAAGTTTTCAAATCAATATATATCATAGATTGTTATAGAGTTATGATTGTTGTCTTGCTGTTAAGAGAATTGTTCCAATATTCTTGTCACCATAGTAATGCTTAATAACTTATTTGTGAAAATGTCACTTGAATGCCATATTAACTTTTAATAGTTTTCTGGGAAATACGTGTTCATATCCTTTTTTGCTTGCAGTCTGCCTCTTGATCTTAAGTTAGTTTTTCATAAAATTAAAAATCATTCCTTTATAATAAATATATAGTTGCTCCTTTATATACTGACATCACTTGTGAACATGGGAAGTGAGTTTGAAAGTGATTAGATAGTGACCCATGGATTTATTTACTTTAAGGCTTAATATTGTGTTAATCTGACGCATACCTGATCTCATCAACAACCATATGCGTATATGAGTTATTCCATGTTTATAAAATCAATTTTTGAAGACTACAATTTTTGAGCTGCTGAAATCTCAGGCTGTATTTTAACCCTAATGTTCTAAACTTGTAAGTGTTATTTTGAGTAATAAACTTCATAACTCATGTGGCAAATCTGTGTTTTATTGAAGTAAAAAACCTAAGGCAAATTCTAAGATCATTTGTTTGTAGCTCTTCTTTTCTATTGTTTTTTAGTTGTGGAATCAAAATACCAAAGGTTTTGGTTACTCAGCTACATTAATGAATTTTTCAAGTCTAGCTGTGTCTTAGAATGACCTTTTCTGATAGCTTTGTGCAATTCTTCTGTAAGCATATAGACAAAGAAGGGTTGGTATGCTAACTAGGAACACTATTTTGGTTTCCTTGATTCCCTCAGATTTCTTTTGTTGGTATTGGGCAATTTCGATTTAAGCATGAATAAAACTACTGCCTGATGTCATAAAGATACTCAAGATCGTATTAAAGGATTGACACATTTATGTGCGATAGGAAGTAAAAATATGCTAGCTAGCATAAAATAACAGTATTCTTTTCTGATTTTATTGTTTCAGTATTTCCTAAATCTACATACTCTAAAAGTGCTAAGCTGTACTGACTACTACCTAATTAGATATTATCAACTTGAATTTGTGGAAGTTTGTGGTAAGGTTTGGGGGAGCATTGACAGGAGACAATTAAAGAAACAAAACCCTAGAGTTCTTTATGAATATTTCAGGATATTAGGCAGTGTCTTTTCAGATCACTTCATGTATGTGGTTTATATGCAAAACTGTGAACATCTAGCTTACTATTTCAGGATTGTCTTCTGATAGTACGGAAGATCGAATTTTGAGAGAAACTGTAAGCTGCCTTTGGAACTCCTTGCTGCCTTTTACCTTGCAGCAGAGGCAAGAGAATTTGTCTGGAGCATCTGAAACTCAGTTGCCTGAAGGAGAGATGTACCTTTGTAAAGGAAGTCAGATACAGCAGATCTTGGGGAAAGGTACTGGAGACTTGAACTCTTACTTGGAGGACAATACACATTTCCAAGGTATTTGCCATTTTAAAGCATTTTTGTGCTGCGCTCTCATCATACAGGATGAGGAGGAGTTCACTCAGTGTTATGTGTTAGTCTGTATCATTTATATTCAGCTTACATTTTAAAGTCATTAAGGATTTTACATGCGAGAACTTTGATGCTTTGTTTTCACGCTTTGCTTTATGTATATGTCCGCGTAGCATAGTGTAGTGCAAGATAGTCTGATCAGATATCTGTCTAATCATAGCCTAGTTCTGCGCAGCTTCCTGCTACCATGGCTAGATTGATTGTTTTCTGTGCCAATTTTATCGCTTGTTTATGCACAATTTTCTCTTCAGGAAGGTAGAGACAATAATATATAATACTTGATTATTCATATAGGGTCACATAGTTGATGAAACACTGATTAACAGACTGGTGGGAGTTCGGTGCTGTCTAGAAAAATGTAACGATTCGTGAAAATAAGAACATCTCTATTAGCTATCATGAAGATAATGCTAGTATTTTCATTCACTTCCTACTGGAATATTTGAAAACCTAGAATCATAGAATTATAGATTAATCTAGACCAGGAAGGACTTCTAGTTATGTGATCCAAATTCTCCTTCCTGCTCACAGCAGAGCCAACTTAGACCAGGTTGCTTAAGGCCTTCTCCAGGAAAGTTCTGAGTATCTTCAAGGACAGAGATTCCACATGCCCCTGTGGGCAACATTTTAACAACTTTCTACTTTCCTTCTCTTTTTTTTTTTTTTTTTTTTTAGTTGTATCCAGCCAGAATTTCCTGTGTTTCATCTTGTGTACATTATCTCTTTTTTTTTCACTAAGCATGTCCAAGAAGACTGACTGCATCTTCTCTATACTGTCTCTTAGTAGTAGACAGCAGAGATTTCTGTACCCCTTCCCAAACACCACCAAGCCTTTTCTTAAGATTGAACAAACTCAGTTTTTTAGTTTCTCTTTGAACATCATGTGCTTCATCCTTCCTTTAATCATCCTTGTGGCTCTTCATTGGACTTGCTTCACTGTGTCACTGTGTGTTTTGTACTGGGAAGCTCACACTACTTCTGATGCAGTCTCACAAGTGCTGAACCAGAGAGCTTATGGACTTAATCTTTTCATTTAAAAAAAAAAAAAATTGCATCAGTGTAGCACTTTCTTGCTGCTTTTTATACCTGCATTGTATCAGAGTGAAAGAATTGGATGTTGTAAAGATTATTTTTTTTAACAAGCTAGTATTTGTATACCTGCAGAATTCTATATACTTTATTTACTGCATATAGAAGCAAAGTGTGATATGTCTGTTGGTTTTTTGAGGGGGGTTGTTTTTGGGTGGGTGTTTTTTGTTTGTTTTTAAAATAACCTCTTTTCTTATAGCTCTAGCAGCTGAACTTGATTTTCCTGAAATAGAGAGACATTTTCCAAACTTCCATCACCAGCTCTTTCAGCCTTTGGAACCAAGTCTTGACTTTGATGCTTCATCGTCCTGTTCTCAATACAGAATTTCACAAGACAGTAGAGAATTTAGCAAGGTACTACAGAAAAACTCTGATGGAGAAATACTCTGGCTTAAGATTTCTGTAAGATTTAATTGTATAATCCCTATAGTGTTTTCTGTTTAGGAGGAACACAATAATAATCTTTGATATACTTAGAACTGGAAGCGTTTTTGCTGGTTGTAGCAGAAATGTGATCCAAAAATCAAATATTACCTTTAACTTTTTATCCTTCATATTTCTGAAATCAAGATTTTTTTTTTTTTTTTCTGCCACTAGACTTCAAAATTTTCAACAAAAAGTCAAGACATGTCTATGTTTCTAGAAGTGGGAAACTCCAGTTTGAATATACAAAGAAGCAGTCTGCCTTCCAGTCTTGAAACAAACGGGCCAAACAACATTACATCAGAAGAAGAGTCTGTTAAAGAAAATGCTACTCTAGGTATGTACAGTATAATCAGATCAATGCTTTCAAAATCGACCTATTGCCAATATGTAAATACTAACCCTTAAGGTGGATTTGCTGTGTTGAAACTGGGAAGGAACTCTTCTCTATCAGCCCTACTTTGAAATGTCTTAACTCTGCTGCTGCTCTCTCACGCGTTGTCTTCTCCACCACCTTTAGTGGGTAGAACTCCTAAATTTTGTGAAGTTCTTTATTTCCTCAGCAGTTATGACTTCAATACAAAAGCAGACCTGCATATTCATGTCACTGTAATGGATATTATGTTACTTATTACTTGTGCAGTAATTATGATGTTAGTGAAGAAATACCAACTCTGGTTGAAACTGTCAGTTTAAATACTTTTCCAAATACTTGTTCGTGCATATCCATCATTTTGTAAGTTTGAGGAAATTAAAGAAGTTCATAAATTGATTAAAATTTTCTGAGATATATGTGTTAGAATCTCTCTGATCTTACTTGTTTTTCTTTTATACATTGTGTCTTTCAAGAAACCATTTAATTTTCCTTTTCCACTGTTAAGTCACACTAATGGTCATTATGTACTGCACACTGTGATATTTGGTCTGATTATATAATTGCTTTATCTATCTGCAAAATGAAGGCACGGAAGAGAGGAAGGAATAAACTTTTAGATTACAATGTAGTAATTAATTTAGTAGATTAAAAGTTTATGATTCTACAGCAGCATTAAGTTAACTGCAGCTCATAGCAGGAAAACTTTTTTAATGTTTTGTAGTTGAATTCAAATTAACTTGCTATTTCATGTATTCTAAAGAAAAGAACCAATCTGAAATTCCAAATGCAGCTAGTAGTACTTTAAATATTTCTGAAGCTCTTACTTACCAAGAATCAGGCGTTTCAGCATTTTAAGGTGCTTCAACAGAAAGCTGAACAGTAACAGAAAACACGGCACAATATTTTAAGTCATAGATGTATTTATAATGTAAATGTTCCTGGTCAATTATCTTTGTTATTTGCATATATATACATCTACATTTTAGAAACACACACTATTTATCTTTAAAGCTGCAAGCGACTATTCTGTGTCTATTATACTCCTCTCTTTCTTTAGCTGGCAGATGCTGGTAAAAAAAAAAAAAAAGAGGCTTACACTTTGAGACTACCTGTGGTCACAGCGAATACGATTTAGGAAACTCCCTTCTAACTTCAAAACATTCTATTTCTAAATTGCTAAACAGTCTTTGTGCTTTAAATGTAACTGCAGTATCTCCCCATCTCTGAAGTGTTTTTATAATCCCAAACCAAATATTCTTGTGCTTTAAAAGAGCGGGGGGGAAATAACATAAGCAACAGGCTAAGCAAGTGAAAACTATTTTGGGTTGTCAGTTCAAGGCAGACTGCTATGTAAGTCCATCATCTGGAGAATTTTCTAGTAATGGCTGATGTTGCAGTGTAATTCCTCCCTTCCTGTTAACAGCTATTTATCAGGAGACAATATTCTTTATACATGTAAAACTAGATATTTTGTATGTGTCAAAGAATGAAAAAAAATCTTTAAATGAAACCTTTAAAGGTTTATGTGATATATTTCTGTCTGTGTAAAAAGCCTATTGATAGCATGATGCTGGAGTTAGTGTAACTGATTTTATCAAACTTAGGTCAGAGGCATGTTGGAAAAAAAAATCTTTTTTTCAACAACCCTGTTGTTTGTTTGGCATATGCTGTACTGCTGAAATGCCTCCCCAATAATTAAAATGCTGATATCCAATCTTTCTCTTTTCCCAGCCTCTTCTGGAAAAAAAATACATCTTGATTTGTATGTGTAGACCCTAAGGGAAAGATAACTTAGGGTGCAATATTGTAACTTGTAGGAACAGCAATCAGTGTTCCAGTTTGGATGTTTTCTTCTGCTATGAAGAGTTTTGGCCCAACTAATGGTGTTTGGGATTGTTTTCTTCGTGTTTTAGACACTTTGTTGGAGGCCCAAAAGGGACTCAAAGGACTTCCATTTACAGACTATAAATTGTAAAATCCATTGACTTTCAATATAGTTATGTCAGCACCATCACGAAGTCTGTCCCTAAACATATTCTAAGAGGCAACAAAAAGTGGTGTTTCTTGAAATTGTTTTGTGTACAGTGGAGGAATCATTTTATGTAATGTTAATGGTATTATGTTTGAAGAAATGTAAACAGACTTTTTTAAACAAAATGTTTTTTCCTATTTACTAGACTTCTTATAATACGTTACTGAAAAGTGTCATTATGGAGGGACTTTTTAAAGTTGAAATTCTGTTGCATTAGTTAGAATTTTAACTCTTGATAATTTTTGAAACAGCATCTGAAGAATCTTTTCACCCACTGCAATCAGAATCTACTCTGAGTGATCACTATCAGAATGCTGATCAGCCAGGAGACCTTAGTGCTGTGTTACAGAGATCTTTTGAACGAACCCCTGGAATTAAAAAATGGAGCAATGAGAACTGTATTTCATCTGCCAGAGAATACGAAGAACTGGCAAGAAATATGGAATGTATTAATCTCCAGTGTTCAATGGAAGATCTGCGAAATGAAAGTCTGAATCCACTGGAAGAGCAAAAATCATTTTACCAGCTAAATACCACACCAGTTACAGTGGATGAAACTTTCCCTCAACACTTGTTAAAAGAGATTGTCGCTTCTGAAAAATTACCTGTGGAGGCATTTGATAAGAAGTACGTGAAGCTTCCTGAGAAATCAGTTCATGTACCTGAAGCAAATAAAGCTGTGGCGCTGGATTCTCAGTACAATACAAATATAAAGGAGCCAGATGAAGGCTTTCCAGAACTACAAAAATCTTCAAGGGTTCCCAGAGAAACCAACTTGGAAGACTCAGACATCCATTTACAGATGGATGTTGTTATACAACAGAATGGTTCTCTCCTGGAAAGACATGAAAAACACACTAATTCTCTGCCCAGAACCTCATGTTGTATTCCAATCTGGGTGAGTAAAACAGATTTCCAAACTCAGTAATTTGCCCAGGCTTTTTTGTTGGGTTTTTTTTGTTGTTTCACCAAGTTGTCTTAGACCTTTAATATCTGAAAGCTTGGCAAATATTGATTTTTTTACAATTCTAGTTTAAGACATGCATGCTTCCTGGACTTCTGCCCTACACTTCTTTCAGATCATAGCACTGAAATAATTAGCAGTAGCTAAAATGAGCTGGAGTTCCCATGATTGTTGGAGGAGCTATAGCATCTCTATTGCATCTCCCTCTCTCAGCATCAGTTGGTATAGCGTATGCATCTGTATTACATGGCACGGTTACATAACTGAACAGCCCCTATCCCCATTTAGAAGCCTGAAGGAGGTAAATAATTTAACCAAAGCATAAGCAAACTTAAGGAAATAGCTTTGTAACTTCAAAAAAAAAAAGTTTGCCCTAGAACTAAGTAATTTAAACTTGGGGGGAGTGGAGGAGAGGTGGAATTTTTGTTATTGTTTGGTTGCTTTGGGTTATTTGTTGTTTTTTTTTTTAACACAGGTATATAAAATACTTTGCATTGGACTTAAGTTCCAGGGTTTGGATACACCAAAACCTCAGGCAAAGTGTTCTTTCTGTATTTCATTTATTGCTTGGGGGCAGATTTTCTTCTACATGTTAAATGAGCCTCCTTTTTCTGACAAGATAACAGCTGTTGCTATTGCTGGAAATAGTGATTTTTTTTTTTTTTTTTACTTTTTCTTTTTTTTACACTGATGTCTTGTATAATGTATTTTCTAGGACACTGAGTCAGGCTGTGGTATTATGGAAGAACCTGAACTCACTCTGATAAGTTCAAATGACATCAGTATTGCAGAATCAGACGTTGAACATACTAACCAAGAGAAAATTAAGGAGGATAAAATCAGTAACCCAGCATGCGTGGATCAGTCTGAATTTAATGTTTTTACTGAGGTGAGTCTTTATTATCTAATGTAATTCTGATTTTAACTTAGTCTTAATCATAATAAGGAGAGGCTCCACTGTAGCAGTTAATCCACTGTTGCAAAATGGAAGAATGTTAGGGGTATCCGAGCTTAGTAATTGCTTGGATCGTCTTGGTTTGATGTTATGTTTTCTGGACCGATCTAATAGATCTTAAATTCAGGCTAGTCTTTAAAATCTTCTTGTCGTATTGGTGTAGATATGAGAAATAGAACTATCTTGCTGGTGTTTGCAAGACTAAATTGTATCCCATTAGTTGGAGACTTGAATGAGAGGACAAAACAAAAGCTACAAACTAAACGGGGGGAAAAAAGGAAAAATCCCCTACCTAGTGGATGGAGCTTATATAAAACAAAGGCCATAAATTGTAGAGGGACTGGTTTGCAGTGAGGGAATAGTTTGGGTGCTGAAGCAATAACGTAGAACCAAGTAATATGTGTCTGTTAGATGAAATCATGTTTCAATTACAGGAGGCATCTAGAGAAGATCCTAAAAGTGCCTAAGGATGGGTCTTTATAAAGTAATTGAAAAGTGGGTAAGGTGGAAGTTGGCAGCTGGAGGCTGTACTTCTGCAGTGGGTGTTGCCTTCCAGCTGAGAATGGAGGAAAGAGAGACAGCAGTAAGAGTGGTGGGGGAGAGCTAGAGAGAACAGGCAGAAAGAAAAATACATCTGTTGAGATGAAACTATGCAGCCCTGTATTAAGAACAAGCAATTGAAATCTGGTGGGCAAAGGGTTTTTAATGGATTTTTAGAAAGTAGCTTTTTAATACTTACTACCAGGATCCATTTCTGATGTTTTTCTTGCATTTGCTATAAAGGCAAAAGAGTATGTCTTTCATTTCCATTGTGTCTACGCTAGTGGTACAGTACTACCACTTCACTCAAATTTGTGGTATATCTTAAGCAGTTCCAGTCACTGATTCCTTTTGAAACAGGAGAGAGAATTTTTACCGCTAGCTCCAGATGGAGATTATTCAGTGTTTGTAAGGCCTGACAGCTCTTCCAAAGCCCAGAGTCCCAATGACAGTCACTTTCCATCGCATCAGACTGCAGGTAATTATGTCTAACTTCAATATACTGAAGTTGAGATAGAGAAGGTCTGCCTTTATAGTATTAAAATCATCAATAAAATACACCTCTCCTTTGGAAAACATAGAGCTGCTTTTACTTAGGCAAGTGCATCTTCAGGCTTGGTTTGTAGCACATTTGACCCAGGTTTAATACGTATCTTATTGACAAGGAAGTATTGACTTGTCTCTTCCTATGCCAGGCTATCTTTCATGAAAGTTCATAATATCTACAATACGCTGTTTTCTGTGTGTTGTAACTACTTAATTTTGAAGAATTCTGTGGTGGTTTGTGGTTTGTTGTCTTACAGTTTATGTGTCTTCACTTGTTTTTTTATTTCCTGTTAGTCCCCAAGCTCCAAAGCCAAAGAGTGTCTTTTTTTTCTATTCTGATGATAGTATGCATCAGTAAAATACTGAAATAATTTTTGTCCAAGATGAACAGCAGTAACATGAAAGACAGGAATTGACAGAACTTAACTGTGTTGGAGACTTCTCAGGTCTTTGATATGTTTTGATGCCTCAAGATTGCTTTCGATGCAGTGTTTATCACAGTATTTGTCTTGCAGACCTGCTTAGTTAGATTCCATAGGTCTGAATTGCTTCTTATTTTGCAAGATTACTCATCATTCACAGTGTCATTCTCCTAATACAATTTCCAAAAGTAGCCAAGCTGAGCATTTTAGGAGGAATACACTGAAATGCATGACTTATTAGAGGTGATGTTGCTCATCCCTAAAAGTGAGAAATGTTCAGACTTCTCATTCTCTTTCACAGTGATGCTGCTGGAGTTTGCAGCTACACCAGGAAGTTTGCAAGAATCTTTTTTAAAAAGAAAGAAGAACTTCATCCAGAAATCTCTGAAAAGAGTAGAAGAAATAAAAAATAGAGAGAAAGAAAATGAAAAGCCAGAAGCCAGACAGTTTCAAAGAGGAAAGTCTGAGAAGTTAAGCAGGCAAAAGGAGTCTTTTCTTATCTCTGGTACGTTTATCTGGGGACAAGACATAGCATTAGGTACGCTTTTAGTTGCTGTTTTATATCAAAGAATAGATTTCACATTTGTTGCATCTTTGCTATTGCAGACTGGGGTATTTGTTTTCTCAGGGATGTGGGGAGCTTTTTTCCCCCACTGTCTGGCTACCTCTTCAGACTTGTAAGAGCCCTTATGAGTCCTCTTGATATTTTCACAATCTGCCCACTTGTTTGTAGTCATAAGGTGTCTCTGCAAATAATAGTTGTTTATCAAAGAACAACCATATTAAGTGAACTGATGCATCTCTAATGTCTGTTAATGGGGTGTTGGAAGTTGGCTGTTGAGAAGCATGGCTGGCTTAAAGTACAGGCAGCAGCCCCATGAGTGAGACTGTGAAGATATATTTTTAACACAAGACATCACCTCCATTGGTCCATTCTGCTAGCTTACTTCTTTTTTTATAATGTCACTTAGAAAACTTTGAAAACCTTTCATGCTTTTGAGTTAGCTGACTAGAGATTTAAATTTATGATATGTTTGGTGCTTTTTTAGGGAAAAAAGGTGCAGTGGCCAATCAGCTGAAGAAAGTAGGAGAAGTGAAAGTGTCTTCTCCAGAGGACAGGAAGTCTGGAGAAATTGAAATGCACCAGCGTACTTCAAGGTATTGCACGAACACAAGTGGGAGGAGTTTGGATTAAAAAACAGAAGTAGGTCATCTGTGTCTTGTGAAAACCACTGGTCAGTCAGAGCAGTTTGTGCTCTTCCAGTTGGACCCAATGCTGCTTAACACAAAACATCTGGGAGGGAGAAGGCAAGTGTGTTTGATACAGGTACCTGGTGGGAAGTTTCCTGGCACAGCTGGCAGTAAGAAACATGACTGGCAGCCTGCTCAGTCCATAGTGCTCAGGCAGCTGTGCCGGTTCATGCATGAATTTGAAACAAAGTTCACAGTTGCACTTGGGCACTTATTAATGGTAACATGCAGCAAGTACAACCTCTGAAGGGGGTGTCTGTTAGATGCAGCCAAAGAGGAATTTGAAGTGATTCTAGATTACTGGAGAGCTGAGTCAAAATTTCCTTTCTTAATTTCTAGCAATTGAGACAGTATAAACCCTTAAGCTTGTTAACTTATTCCAGCTTTGCCACTTTCTTCCTGACAAGACACAATTTTTTTCTGACTGTTTTGACAGACTTTATAATCAACTTGCAGAAGAAAAAATCAGAAAGGAAGAAAAAACAAGGCAAGAAACTTATGCTAAAAATAGAGAAAAGGCTAAAGAGTTTCAAAAGGTAATAGTCTGCTACAATGTCGTTCTATCTGGTTAGTTCTCTTGATTTCACTGAGCTTCTAATCAGACTAATTGAGATGTAGTTCTGTGGTGTGAGTGCAACTCAAATGGAGACCATCCAGCCTGGATTTTAAGTGATGCTATTGGTATGTCCCACTTAAGAATTTCCTTATCAACACTAACACTGAGCTAGAATTTTCTCTAAAAAGCGTGTCTGCCTTGGGCTGAATTTTTCTGATGACTTGAGGCTGAGCAAAAAGAGACCCCAGCTCCTAGAAAGTCTACTTGATAAAAGAATAGCAGGGGGGTTTATTAGTCCAAACTTGACTGAATTTCCATTACAAGGCAGGGTTTTTTTGGGGGGTGGCTTTGTTGGCTACTCTAGGTAGCTTAAGATTCTGCCTAGCTGAGCACACCTGAACTTACATTTGCAAGAATCCTGTCTGGGTTTGCCTGCGGTTGCTCTAGAATAGGGGGTTGAACAAGAGGACTGGAGTTGTTAATTCTCCCTGTCCCCTGCTGAGCCTCGTAAGGGGCCCTTCCAGACAGCTGGGAGGAAGGAAATGCTTGATGATCCTGACAGGCTGAGACAGCTGCTGGGGACTCCAGCCCCAAGTCCTGCCTTTAGCACTGACCATCTCAACTTTTTTGTGGTGGAATAAATTGCTGCTCTTTTTATGTTGTTTTACAGATTCCATAATTAACAGAAAATAAGAGAAATAAGCATACCTTCCCCCTGAAATCTGTGGGCTTTTTGGAGCAGTAGCAGTAACTGAACCCATTGCCCCATTGTCCAGATTTGCCCTGTCCATACATGAGTAGTACCTCAGTTGTGTCCACCTTCTTATACTGCTTTTCGTATAGTCACTTAAGCTACACTACTTGTAGTCTCATGGTTTGTTTTATTTGCAGAAAATGCTGGAAAAACTACGAGCCAAGAAGACTTGGAAAGCACCATGACTTGCAGAAGACTTTGAGCAACAAGGAACACTACTGTATTGGTACAATCCAAAAGACCACTGAATAATGCAGACTTCATTAAGTTAATTGTGGAGCCATTAGGAATCCTCAGCTTTAGGCTGTAGGAAAACCGTAAGTAAACAAAATCTGCGTAGTACCTTAATGGTTTACCGAGATCACTACAGCAGCAGATTAACTACTGCTTTAAACATGGCTTGTCTCCAATGGAGTAGACTGTTGTCAAAAGCTTTTCTTGATGTGCATTAGTGTTTGAAAGGGAGATCGTACTAACTTTTGTAATATACCTGTATAACGCATTTTCAAATAAAGTTTTTTTAAGACAACTTGAATCCTCAGGAAGCAAGACATTAATGTCTTCGGTAAAGTTGAAATTTTAATCTGTTCTTTGCACTCTGTGATTTATGATGAGGAAGTGTGGGTTCCTGCAGTCAAGAGGTGCATCTTAAAGCACATGAAGGTAGGAAGGGAGTAAAAACCTTGTAGTGTTACTACTTCCAAATGCAGTTCTTCTGTCCAAGTTTCCTGAGCTCCAATTCAGAGCTAAGTAATTACAGCATCAGGACAAATTCAAAGCTCAACTTTTGCTATAAAGTTGAATTTGGTTATCAGCAGGTGGAATAGCCAGGGCAATTTCCTTAAATCTGGTCCTGTTTAAAATATAGCAGAGAAAAGTCATAGAAAGCTTATTTTTCATGAGCTGTTTTTACCGATTGCATGTACTGCAGTAGCTAAAGCACTTTTTTACCCCCTCCCCAAGTAAAGAGCATAAGAGAAAACCAGCTTGTCACTCGATGGAGGCTTTTCATAATGCAAAGATTAGAGGTACAGTATGTGTAGTCTCATCTTCACCCTTGTGGTTCTGCATGGGCTGCTCAGGCTCCTGCACGTGAATGTTCTTGTTCCTTTCTCACAGTATGATCAGAAGGGAAGAGAGCAAGACTGACTACACTTTCCTACCAGCAAGCCACAGGTGATCAGCTGCCATGGCTTGCTCACCCCTCCTTTGCTTACAGTACAGCAACAGGAAATAATGCCAGGCTGCAGCTTTTAGACATCAGCTTTATTTAAATGCTGTGACATTCTGTACAGAAAAATGACCTCTCCGGAGCTTTAGTACAGCAGAGTTCAGTGACAGGGAAGTGAGGGAAAACAGCTTATAAGGTCTCTTTCAGTCAAATTACAACTTGATACACTCAGCTTAGTGAGCTCTTCTGCCACACCATCCTAAGCTTTGCCAGGACAAAACAGACAAGCTGCAACTGAAAGGCAGAGGTTCCTTGTGCTTCTGAACTGGTTTCCAAGTAACATGCACTAATTCAATTTACAAAGCAGTAAGGGAAGTTAGAATGGTTGTTTAATTCCAATTTACTGCAATAAACACTCCAGAGAAGTTTCTTTCTCTATTTGGAAGAGCTGTGTGGTTCTTTGCAGCAGACTTGCAGCAACAGCACCAGGACCTGAGAGAGGAACAGCATCTATCAGCACTTTTACACAAAAGAAAAGCCACTTAACTCTCTAGTCTTCTTCTAGTCTGAAGCAATTTAATTTCAGGACACAGTGCTGGTATAAAAGCAGCAATGCAGGGAACATATTCATACATCCCTTGCTAAACTGTTAAGGGGCAAAAGCATGACTTCCACTGCCAGCTCCTGAGTATCCTAATTTTCTGTTTCCTGTAACTACTCACAGTGCCTGTAGCATACCCTGTACTTCTTTCCTCCCTCACCCCATCGTTCCAGGATTACCCACTCTAAGACTTCCACGCAGCTCTAGGAATACATCACATTGCCAAGGGAAAAGGAAGCAGCAATTAAGTTATAAGACTGCTCCCGCCACAACTGTACAATCCTGTACTTGACATACTGCAAGTCAGCTGGTTTCAGAATGAAACTGAGCAGCCTCTTCCCTAGCCTGAGGGCAGCAGATAAACATCCTTTTTCATTCCATAAGGCATATCTCCTCATAAATAGACCATAGCACACACCAAGTGTCCACGGCATCCTGCAGAGGATTTCAATATGCGGTCACCGCGTTAAGAGCTGCTGGTTTTTCAGCCATGCAAACCCTCTTTGAAGTGACCTTGAATTTCTTTCTTAGTACCAGCAATTTTGCTGAGCACTCTTACCTTCAGACTCGCTTTGGTGGCACTCAGGTGGTGTTTCTCACCCCTCTGACATGCAGTGACTTGGCAGCAGACACTATGGGTCAAAGAGTCAGGTTTGGTTAGTGTAAGTGGAAAGTTAAAACAAACTGAAGTTTCATGTAAACTGCACAGAGCAGCCTTCTGTCTCTTCCCTTTTTGCTTCTGTGTGCACAACCACCATCCTCTCAAGTTACCACCTCAGTCCAAGTTACAAAGGTTTAACTAGAACTTTTGTTCCTCTGTAGCTTAAGTGTTAGAGGTGCCCAAGGATATGGCCACGTGACTACATCTCAGCAGGGACTTGCTCTCATCTCAACAGCAGAAGGGAGCACTGTGTCTCTGACCTACACTAAAGCTTTATTCCCAGCAGACTTGGTGCCACATAATGTGGCAATTCAAGAGTCTGAGGGACTTGCTTTACGGTCATGTCCACAGCTCACCAGAAACAACATCCTAGCAGCCTTGGTAATGACCAGGTACTCTCACTGCTGTTACCACCAACTTAAATCTGGGCCTTAAATCAATATTCAAGTTGCCCATCCTTTCTTGTTAAGACCAATCAATCATACCAATATGTAAGCCAAGTTGTGTACCAACAAGCCTAAAATCTGTTAAAAGCTCCAGGTACAGAGGAATTCCTCACAACCAGTATCAGTCTTTGCTTCAGAAACTAGTACTACAAGTTTCTGCACAGCTCTGTGACATCCATTTAAAACATGTATACACACAGAAAAATAACTTGCAGATAAGCAACCTGCCCAGATACTGCCAAAATCTGGGGTGATCACTGCCCAGCAATCTCTGCTACTAGACAACCATTTCCAGACTTTTCTAGAACCATTTACTGAGGTTTCAATGTTCTAGAGTCATACCAAGTTACCACACACACTGTAAAGTAGCACGAAACCATATGAACTGACAAGTAACTCAGTGCTTACCTGTCAAACAGGTTATCTTCCACAGCCAATCCTTTAACACAGCAAAATTCACATTGTTCTGTATTCCAAAGCACCTGTTAAAAAAAAAAGAAGAAACTGAATGCACTTGCCAAGCTCCAGAGGCCAGTATCCAGTTCTCACACTGGAACAGGAAAATAAAAAGCAAGCACACTCAAATCCTCCAAGAGGACAAAGACTGTATCAGCAAAAATACCAAGTTTAACAGACACAGCAGAACGAAAACCAACGATGCCAAATGCTGAACTCCTGTAGCACTGTTTTTTGAACACCCCATCAGGAGAATGCTGCTGGGTGCAGATACCATACAGTGCAACAACTGCAGTAGTTCTTCATCACAATTGCTCATTTTAACATTCAAGCTTTTCGTATGCACCAGTCAGTACTAGTGATAAGCTAAATTGAGGTACTCTTCCCTTCACAAAAGCTGCCATGTAACTAGGAGGGAAAACAGACTCCGTGAATTTCACCTAATAGGAACAGCAGCTTCAGAATTCTTTTAAGTTTTTATATAATCCTACCATGAAGGATTTGTACTTCATCCAGGATATTTTGCTTGTTTTACTTTAAAGTCTGCATTCTATAGAACAGAAGCCAGGAATTTTAATGGTATAGTAGTAACCTGACTGCGCTGCTCCAAGATTAACTCTTTAAACTCAAACTTGCAGACATAAAACCCAATATTGCTGCTCAGTGTGAAACTATCAAGCATCTACTTGACACAGAACAATGCAGCACATTTATGAAGTCACTCCAAGTTCAGACAGACACCAGTGCTGTCTCTTCTTACCTACAGCCACCAACATAAGAAATAAAAAAATCACTCCTTCGTGATCAAAGGGGGAATAGATTGTTTCAAGCCATCCAGAAAACTCAAACCACAAGAAAGTGTTAGAAATCAGGTACCTACACAAAAACACAGCTGAAGAAGTTCAGCCCATGCTGAATTCAATATGTTAGTTACATTTGAGGTCACAGAACACACCATCTTTGGACTCTTACCAAGCTTTTCCACTTGAATCATTTTTTTCATTTGTATCAAAAGCATAAGTCAGTACCTAAAGAAGAACATAATGCATTATTACAGTTCCTAGGATGCTGCATCTGCAGAGACTTGTCTTGCAGTTTTATCCCACAGAGCTAACAGGTAGTTCAATGGGTAAAGCAAAACCACAAGTTTATTCTGTGAGGCATTTCCAACGACACGAACCTACAGAGGAGATCCTATCGGGATAGACCTCAACATTTCTGGTAATTAACACAATAGATAAAAATGAAGCAGACGGGAAAGGTATCTCATACAGATCCCACTAAGTGCGTTTTTAACTTGCATCAAGACATTTGGGGGGAGGAGGAAGGTACTTCATCTTCCCCAAATGTTAGTGTAACTCCTTCACAGTACCAACAGTTTTAATATTAAAAGTTAATGTTACCTGAAAGGCAAACAAAGGGAATTAACTGTAAAATTGTACTCAAACAGAATCTTCCCTATAACTTTCCTGCTAGGTGTTAAGTTACTAGTAGAAGTAAAACTATCAGTTTAAGCAGTTAAGCTGATCACCTCCTTTTTGACTGAGAAATTTGTATGAGTGTTCTTCAGACAAATCAAAGTTAAAATAAATTCTTCACTTAACAGAGTGAATGCTACATTAAAATACAGTAACACAGGGTTGAAACAAGTCCCTGAAACCCTCCACAAGTCAGTAAGCTTGATTTGATAGAGACTTCCAGCCACTGAAAACCAGAGCCCTTCAATCATTAAGCAATATGCAGAACCTCAGATGTCATACTAACCCTAGAAGGGGCTTCAGATTCCTGTGAAATGGCATTCTGCATTTCTTCTCCCCTTTTCTCTAATTACACACCACCTGAAAAAGCAA